CATACTAACACAGCTGCGCTACACTGGCATTATGTGGCTAGTAGGGATGGGCATGAATCGGGAAAAATGGAGGCTCATGGAGGTTCATGGTTTGGGGTTTTCACAAACCATGAACGGTTTTGTTTTTTTTAAGCAAGTTTTTATTTTTTCCATATCAACAAACAAAAACGGACATAACACATACACATAAAGTGGGGGTTACATATACTTATTTATATTATCTAGCTGGTCCATGAACTGGTTTGAGGTTTGGGAAGTTCATGGGGCTGCAGCCCCACCTAGAAGTGAGCTCCGAAGGCATTTAAATGCCTTCAGAGACCAACCACCAGGACCCAAGTGAGCTTCAAAGGCATTTAAATGCCCTTGGAGTTTAATTCTAGGTCAGGCTGCCATATAAGGGCATATAAGGCCTATAAAAGCCTTCAGAACGTACTCTGGGAGCTACCCAACTCGACTGAGCTCCAAAGGCCTATAAACGTCTGGTTGGGCAGCTGGACCCGGACATAAACTCCAAAGGCCTTTGGAGCTCACTTGGGTCACAGGTGGTCGGAGCTCACTTCTGGTCAGGCCGCTGACCAGGAATTAAGCTCCAAGTGTAATTAAATGCCATCCGAATCCTCCCATGAACCTCATGAATTTCCATGGAGGTTCATGGGCAGATCGTGGGAGGCAGTTCTTCTGAACCCCTGGTTCAGAAATCATGAACTGGCCTGGTTTGTGCTCGAACCACAGTTTGTTTATGGGTTCATGCCCATCCCTAGTGGCTAGACATAGGAAACAAAGTTCCAGGGCTTACCTGGGGACAGTTTTGTGGTTTAGGGCAGGGAGCAGGACTCAGGGATCTGGGGGGGGGGATCTCCATCATCCTATTTGTCGCTGTAGTGACACAGTGCTCATGGGCAGGCTCCTGTGGCAGCATCCCTAGTGCCCAATCATGGACTTCTCTGGGACCCTGGGGTGGAGCTACTCAGGTGGACCAGGTGGATTAAGTTCTCTCTCTGGTCCACCTGGCTGCCATTTAAAGCCAGACCCTGCCAGAACCCACACGCAGTCAGCTCCAGCCTCCTGGCCCTTTGTTGGACATACTCTAAAGAGTAGTTCTATTTTTTGGTCATGTGGATTGTATGTTCTGGTCACAACTTTGTGGGGGGCAGTCTGGGCACTAAGCCAAATACATTTGGGGAGTGGAAGCAGTGTCTGCATGCCAAACTCCCCCACTTTGGAGGATCCCCTTAAGGGATTCTCGGGTGAAGCCATTTGGGGACATGCCCAGCTTGGGAGCTGTCATCCTGCTTCACTCCCAGATGACAGGGAAACCATGCAGTGGCTTACACCCATGTGGGATTCCAATACATGCCCTCCCAAGTTGTTTCATCCAGCAGGAGGGCTGGTGGGGAGGGTAGCCATCAGACAATAGGTGGATTGCAGTGCATGGACTGGATTCATGCCCTATGCTTCTCTAATGCTCAATGGCTGTGATCAATAAATTTGTGGCCATTTTTACTCCAGCATTATTTGAGTGTTGGGTTTTGTTCTCCCTTTCTGCCTCCCCTCTTGTCCCTGGGATTGCAAGTGACACTAGATACAAGGGAGGAGATATATGATGCTGTGTTTAGCTTTTACAATTAATATGTTAACTTTCAGTTACAAAGATCTTTTATCAGATCAAAAGATATGAAAGGAACCAGATACAACCCAATTACTATTCAACTACTTTATTGCAGCTATAGAACAATGAAGAAATTACTAAGGGTTCATATAACTATGCATGGTGGTTTATAAAATTATGCATGGTGTGGAAAGAGTTGACAAAGAGAACTTTTCCTCCCTCTCCCCAAATGCTAGAACTCAAGGGCAGTGGATTCAGAACAGACAAAAGGCAATACTTCTTCACACAGCAAGTGATTAAAACTGTGGAATTTGCTGCCAGAGGATGTTAGGGTTGCCAGGTCCTTACCTGGCACCCACAGGGATGGGAGGGAGCTCTCTTGGAGTGGGGGTAACCATAGAGTTTTGCCCAAAATACCAAGGCATCATCCCGTGGTGTCCCCAGTGTGAGGGACAAGCAAGACTCTGGTTTGAGGGCAAAACTCTATGGTAAAATTGCCCTCAAGCCATAGAGTTTTGCCCTCAAACCAGAGCATCACACTTCCATGTAATGTCATTGTGCTGGTGACATCACTGTTTGGGGATGGGGTTTTGCCAGTCAGTTGCCTGGCGGTGGGCAGAAGCCCCCAAAACCAAAGGTTTCCCCACCTGGACCTGGGGAATTGCAACCCTACTTTTTATCTATTAAGATAACTGTCTCCTGTGAATCCCAACATCACTCATTAGCATCAGGTCACATTGTCTATAAAGCCATTAGACATAAGAGCACAACACCAAAGAAGTTCCAAATTTCTTACTGGTGAGAGACCATTAAGACTCTGGCATGGTCAGATTACTTATTTTCTTTATAAAATCAGGTAAGGTAAAGGTAAAGGTTCCCTTGCTCGAAAGCCAGTTGACTCTAGGGTTGTGGTGCTCATCTCCGTTTCAAAGCCGAAGAGCCAGCGCTGTGCGAAGACGTTTCCGTGGTCATGTGGCCGGCATGACTAAACACCAAGGCGCACGGAATGCTGTTACCTTCCCACCGAAGTGGTACCTATTTATCTACTTGCAATTTCTTGCTTTCGAACTGCTAGGTTGGCAGGAGCTGGAACTAGAGACGGGAGCTCACTCCGTCATGCGGCACACTCGGGTCTCAATCAGCTGAACTACCGACCTTCCACAGCCTGCAGTTCAGCGTCTTAACCACTTGAGCCACCGCAGCTCCTATAAAATCAGGTAGTCCCCTATTATTAAAAGCAGTGCTTATTAAAAACAGTGTTTCAAACTCTGGCAAGTCAACCCCCCCCCTTTCCCTAATGATGCCTTTGTCCTCCTGGTCTTTTGCAAAGGTCATTGCTCAAGTGGTTTGTTTTCCACTCTTCTTTAGCTACATCCTGGACATGTCATTTCCTTAGCTCCAGTGTTTTTCACCTGGGATCTTCACACAGAACAGACACTAAGGAGGCGAGCACAAAGCTTTGCCAGGTTATTAAAAAACCTGGCCTATGCTGAGGTCTGGTTTTTCCTTGAGGCAAAAATCCATATACTATAAAGTCTAACACATAGTTATTAGTTTCTCATTTTTGAAAATACACTATTAAATATTTCAGCCAGAGTCAGTGTCTCGTTTACAAAGCACCACACTTTCCTAACATGTTGTTTTCCATATCACTAAGTTTGTATGACATTTGCTAATGACCGTATTTCTTCACAGAGGCTGTGAAAGAAAAACAAAGACCTCAGAAACCTCCAAAGAGAAGGACAATGATATATAGACATGCAAAATAATCTGAAGCATAGTCTCTCGACTTCTTTTGCTTTCAAATGTATTTGTTATAAAGCTTGAAAAAACATATTAGTGGATGTTCAGAGATTCACTGACAACTACCAGCTCTTTTCATCAAATTATTCTGCTACAGTAACAGTACCATCCTAAGCAGAGTTGCAGCCTTCTAAAACCTATTGACTTCAATGGCTTTAGAAGGATGTAACACTGGAGGGCACTGAAAATGAAGCATCTAAAACACTGCAGATAGACACGAAAGGGGAGCCAACACCAATAGGTGGGATAAGCAAGGACCAACTTTGTTTTATAGCAAGAAATGAGTCTGCAACATCCAAGGGCACAACTCACTCCATATTTATTCACAAGTGCAAGCAACTGGGCAAAGTTTCTGGCTCTGAACCCTGTGTTGTCAAGCGGTATATTGCCCAGGCTTTTCCTTGCCAGGCATTTACTGGCGCTTGAGGGAGGTGTGCCATGCTCCCCAGCCATTCTGTCTTTGGGTCAAGGATAACAGCACCTCTCAAGGGGTTCCTGCACCAGTTCCTTGAAACCACCATAGCCCAAGTTGGTGGTCTGATGTATCAGGTTACTCACTTAAGCTTTATATATATAAAAAACTTAACCCAGTTTTTCTGCACTGATATTATCACAGTGGGGTGGAGCTTACTGTTTGGCCCCCTAAAATGGATGGATGGATATCTGTCTGTCTGTCTGTCTGTCTGTCTGTCTATTACTTCCCCACATACTTGTTCCTTTATGTGGACTACTATTTATTATAATTAAGGGATCATTTCTCAAATAATTCCTGCAGTCACAGGCCCATGAAGATGTTCTCAGTCATATTGCCACTCATATAACATCCTTGTAGGCAGTTTCTGTAACTGGAGCTGCATTTAATATGGCTGCAGCAGTTCCCAGGTTTGTGCCACAAGCCCTCTGTACTGGAGGTACATTTGGAATTGCAATAAAATGTCTCAACCTCAAATATCGTTCTTGTCATCCCACAGCTCGTTAATGTCATCACCCACAAAGAGAGGGGAAGAAAAACTAAACCAACCAAGAAAAAACCTCCAAAGGAAGTTTAGAAAACTAGTAAAGGCTGAAAGTTAAAAACATCAATAGGTATAGACAAAAGTACACGTGTTTATTTCAAAAACATATAAAAACCTTGTAGAGGCTCAAATGAAGCCTCATAAAACAACCAAAGTGAAAAATGCACAACAAGGACCATATATGACCTGACGTGTTTCAGCCCACAAGAGCCTTCTTCAGAAGTCAAATAGTACAGCATGCAACAGAGCCCCAGTTACACTTGTAAGGCAGGACCAAAATGAGATGTATAGGACCAAAAATGGAATGTTCCAACACTAACCCAGTTTGGACCTATGGAACCACTGGATTGATATCCCTTAAGGTACTGCACAATGTGTGACTTGTTAGTTAAATATTGGCGTCACTGTTTAATAGAATGTTTTGAGACTGACACCCAGAGTACACTAAAAATTTTATTTCTATTTATTTCTATGCCTCCTTCTTTGTGTGTTTGTCAGGGGGTTTTTTGTGTGTGTGCACGTGTACCAATATCTCATAAAAAGTAAAGAAACTCTTTAATATTTCTTACCAGAGCCCATTAAAACAAAAGAAGTGAAGCCTTCTGCTCCTTCAAAACTCAATGGTAAGAAACCACATAGTGTTGCATGAAAAATTAAACTATGTAGTTACTGATTTTACTTTCTGCTTCAGTGTTTGATAACTTTTTTTCAGGGACCACTAAGGGAACAGATGTGAAGTCACCAGTTACTAGTGAGAGAGGTAAAAAATGTCTTAATACATAAAATTGATGTATAAACCTATAATTGCACATGGTCTCTAAAAACATTAACATTAAATATCACTTACATTGCAGTGGCTCATAGTATCACCAGTTTTATCAGAAATCTCAATTAAATATTATTTGGGCAAAGTATTGGAGAGAGTGGTGGTAATTCAATTGCAGAGCTTCATGGATGACACTTTCATGCTGGACCCGTCCCAGTCTGGCTTCCAGCCGGGTCATGGAACGGAGACAGCACTGGTCGCTCTCACAGATTACCTCCGAAGGCATCTGGATCGAGGTGGCACGGCGGTACTGGTGTTGTTGAATTTGTCAGTGGCGTTTGACACCGTCGACCACCAGTTACTGATCCACTGCCTTGCTGACACTGGAATCCAAGGCCTTACCTTGCAATGGCTTGTCTTTTTTCTCCAGGGTCGGGGACAGAGGGTGGTGCTAGGGGAGCAGATGTCCCAGAGGCACCCGCTGGTGTTCAGGGTGCCGCAAGTGGCGGTGCTATCCCCGATGTTGTTTAACAACTTCCTTGCCCCCCTCGCCCAGATTGCCCAGAGGCATGGGCTGGGGTGACATCAGTACGCTGATGACACCCAGCTATATCTGCTGTTGGTGGCCGGTCCGACTCTGACCCAGATGACCTGAAGCGGGCACTTCAGGATGTGGTGGGCTGGCTTAGACTGAGTTGATTGAAATTGAATCCAACGAAGACAAAGGTTCTGTGCTTGAGTTGGAGCAGGTCGGGGGTGGGTATCCCATTATTGACCTTCGGTGGGGCACCATTGGTGCCAGAGCTGAGGGTTAGGAGTCTGGGAGTGCTCCTGTGTGCCTCTTTAACAATGGAGGCCCAGGTAGCAGCCACTGCCAAGGTGGCCTTTTACCACCTACAGCTGATCAGGCAGCTGGTTCCCTTCCTCAAATGCAATGACCTAGCAACAGTGATCCATGCAATGGTCACCTCGAGATTAGACTACTGCAACACTCTCTACATGGGGCTGCCCTTGTCCCAGATCCGGAGGCTGCAGCTAGTGCAGAATGCTGCAGCCAGGCTGCTGATGGGTCTCTCTATATGGGACCATATCCAGCCTGTGCTGAGGACCCTGCACTGGCTGCCTATAGCGTACCGGATCTGGTTCAAGGTGCTGGTTCTAACCTTTAAAGCCCTATATGGTATGGGGCAATAAATAAATATAAATAAATACCCCGCCCTCCCCACCGAGGCAGGCTCAGGGCGGCTTACACAAGAAAACAATAAAAAACAATAATATACATGTCAATATAAAATACATGATAAAATTATTAAAAACATTAACATATCAAAGGCAATATAGCTATGGTAAAGTGCATTCAGAAACATACAATTCGGCAGTACCTCCACTCTTGGTGGGCTCAGGCTGGCAGTAAATTTGGCACAGGGCATAGATGGTAATGTGCAGCTCCTTACCTGAATGCCTGATGGAAGAGCTCCAGGGCCCTAAGAGCTGCAGGGCCCTAATCTCATCCAGAATCTCATTCCAATAAATTGGAGCTGCTACAGAAAATGCCCTGGTCCTGGTACTTCATTAGGATATCATGCCATGGAGTCCACCTTCCAAGCAGCCATTTCCTCCGGGTGAACTGATCTCTTTCACCCGGAGCTCCATTGTAATAGCAGGAAATCTCCAGGTACCTCTTGCAGGTTGGCAACCCTACCAACTGGAGATGTACAGCTTTTGTGTGTGTGTGTTTGTGAATGTGAGGAAGGTCATGCATATGAAAGTTCCCCTTCCCATGAAAGATATACTGTAACAGAATGACAGATTGTAATGGTTTTATGAGTTGTTCCTGTAGGGAGAAAGTGCACAGTGTTCATGGAAATAAACAAGCCTGAAGATAGCAAGCACATGAAAGGACTTTTATGGAATAAGGCTGCTTCAGAATTAGATAGGAGGATGGGAAAGAGAGTTCGTCTCTCAGATACATAAGCTTTGTTGTATCAGAGCTGACAGAGTTAACAGTTGTGTCAGAAATTAGGGGAAAACTGAACGATATCTCTGAGGTATCTATTTCATTAATCTTAAATTGTACCTATATCTGTGTTTCATGCTCCTCCTTTCTTCCCTCTGTGATTTCAGCATCTCTGTGCATATGAATGTGAGTTTTTTAATTAATTGAGCAAATACATTTTCTAGATGCAATAAAAGAAAAAGTGAAGCTTCCAGTTGTTGCCAAAGAAAAAGGTAAGCATCATTTGTAAAGCCCTTGTTAAGTTCATGAGACAATTTGTTATTCCTCTCTTTACTTGAACTTGGCAGAAGGTACTGGATATTGATATTCACAGACTGCATTCATCACACTGATCTTTAGGCCTGCATAGGTACGGACTCGTACTGCAACAGACAAAATAGTAGTTTATGCTAAACTAGTGAAAGAGTGGCTCTCTGGCCCACTTGTTTTTCAAAACCAGATCCAATATTATTCCTAGCATAATATCCTGGTGGAGCAATATTGGACCAGTGCAGACCGGCACAAGTTAATGTCTCATTCTGCTTTTCATTTAATGTTCCATTTTATTCTTCTATAAATAAATAAACAAACACAATTTTATTGTGATTATTTATTTATTCCATGTATGAGCAAATGCAAATAATAAATGCAATCCAAAATACACACAGTTTTTGTCCTATTTGTGTACGTACTTCATAATTCCCTTACAACACAGTATGCTTTGACTGATATTTGTTATCAGGACAATATGACAACAAATATCTGTTTAATTAGTTTTATGTGTTTATCATGGAACAAATGGTTGTAGACATCCACCTAGACAAGTCTGGGTGTGTATAAACATATATACATCTTCCATAAAAAAAGTAATTTTGTAGATGTGAAATACTAATCATTATAACACATTAAATGTTCTATGGTAGATTTATTTATTCAGAGAAGAATGTGATTTAATTGGCCACTTTTTGCATGTTGATTAAACATCTCCTTGTTACTTTTGTAATGCTGTTTCTCACCTTAAATGGATAAATACTGTATGTACACATTTGCTACATATCTGTAAATCTAATAATGATGTATGGCCCCAATCTGTGGATACTTAAATCCGCCTACTGGGACCACACTGATGCAAACTTGGGGTATCCAAAAATACATTGGGGATTTAAATTTCCCCCAAATTAAAAAAAAAAATCCCAGTTGAGCTGGAGACAGCCGCCAGTGGTGGTGTGAACTTCAGACTTGACCACCCTGGTAGAGAATGCCAGGAGCAGCTATGGGCCTGGCTGCCACGGCTACATACTTTAGGAGTGGCTATAGACCTGGCTGCCATGGCTGCAGACTCCAGGAATGGCTTGGATCCCAGCTGCTGCTGTGGCAGATGCTGAGAGAGGCTCCAGGCCTGCTCGCACTGGCGGAGCACTCTGGAAGCCGCTTCCTGCCTAGCTGCCATGGTGGGGTGCTCTGGGAGCCACCCCAGGCCCGGCTGCATGGCAGAGGACAGCCTCTGGGGCTGGCCATGGTGTTGGAGAATGCCAGGAGCCACTCAGGGTTTGGAGTGGCTCCAGGGTACCATTGCTGTTGCCACAGGTGGGTGATGGGGCCTGGAGTAGGGATGGGTTTCCACCACCACCCCGTGAGTCTTGCAGGCCTCCCACTTGTTTTGCACTAAAGTTCTTTCTAGCAATATTTGTTACACGAACCTCTGTGATTTCATCAGTGCAGCTATATAAAAGAAATGAATGGCATACATGATTCTGTGATAGCTTCTCTTGCAAGTTGGGAGGAGAGCTAATACGGAGGCCATTTGAGAAACAGGAGGATGTGAATAACAACTGCATGAGTTATACAGAGACAAACACAGAGATGTGTACTTGTCAATGTAGTGCAGCCTTAGTGCAGCCTTGCTGGATATAAACAGTGCAGTTATCAGCAGAGTTACATCCTTCTAAGCCCATTGACTTCAATGGCTTAGGAGGGGGGTTCTTGGTCTAGAATTGCACTGAGAAGGTGCATCAAGGGAATCATAACTCCAAGTAAGACTTCAGTATGACAAATCAAACATTTTACTTTTTTGCTGAGGTGCCGGGGGTGGTGCCTCCCCTGCCACCTCAGAAATCAACAATTTACAGGTAAGAAAAAAATCTCTGTTAATGCTGCTCTCATTATTATTATTTTCTTGGCTGGTATGTCTTTTTAAAAGTTTGACATCTGGATGCTTGTGTGCAAGCTAAGGTGCTCTTAAATGGCACATCTGCAAGCTAAGCAAATTGGATTTTTTTTTCAGCAGCAGCCAAACCAAAGGAAGCAAAGCCTCCAGTTGCCCAGAAACAAAAAGGTAAATGTCCTTTAGAACTATACATTAGGCAATTCTGTGATCAGATTCATATGCCTTTTCTTGCATTCTTTTTCTGTCATTAGATCATTTTCTTCCATACTATGGAAAGCTCTTGTCAATGATGGTGAAAAGGGAACAAGAATGTTAACTCTTATTAATCAGTCTTTGATGTTATTGATACTAGTAAATAAAGCTTGTTTCTTGAAAGTCTGATACATTTCTGACTGTCACTAGAACTCTTACATATGTATGTTCCTGTGGTCTTGTGATTCATTTGCACTGATAGTAATATCTGCTAATAACTTCAAACCAAGATTACCTACCGTGTGATTCTTGTGGCCTCCACATAAACTAAACATCAATATATCTAATTGTCAGTATGGCCAAATATGTGGATACTTAAATCTGTGAACATAAGAAGAGCCCTGCTGGATCACACCAGTGGTCCATCTAGTCCAGCATACTGTTTTACACAGTGGCCAAACAGTTCCTCTGGAGGACCAACAACAGAGCATAGAGGTCAAGTCTTCCCCTGATGTTTCCTCCTGGCTCTGGGATCCAGAGGTTTAGTGCCTCTGAATGTGGAGGTTCCCTTCAGTCACCATGGCTAGTAGCCACTGATAGACCTATCTAATCCCCCCCCCTTTAAAGCTGTTTATTCCTGTGGTAATCAGGACAATGTTGACAGGTTTGCATAAAAATCTGAAACCTTAAAAAAGAGGGATTGAATTTTTAAAAAAGTATAATAGAGAGGAGTTGTCTGCCCTTGTATCCTGGGAGCCTCCTTCCCTTTTACTGCTGTTTCAGAGGATGGCCAAGGAAATGCAGGACCTTCTCCCAACCACCACCCCGTGTTCCCCTTTGGCTTCCACTGCAATTTGAGGCTGATTACTGGGACACAGGATGTGTTAATAGAGCAGTAGTGGGCGGGGCATATGGCTGGGCAACCAGATCAGCAAATGAGGGGATGGCCAGATAAGCAGGCACAGCAGTGGGAAGGGGGTGGGTGTACAAGCCAAACCCCCATGAGTCTCACAGGGAGGGGAGGAGAAAGAGAGAGAGGGAAAGAAAAAAAAGAAGGATGGGGAGGAGAAAAAGAGAGGGGAGCATGAGTGACAGAGCAGGGGTGGAGGGAGACAAAAAGAGAGGGAGACATAAGTGACAGATAAGGGGTGGGGGAGGCAGAAGGAGTGGCTTGAGTAACAAAATGGGGGAGAGGGGAGGAAACTTGGACTTCAGCGGCCTTAGAACTTGGAGGTTATTATACATATGCAGTCAAGGCAGTTCCGGGGAGAGGACCAGACAGGCTTAAAGGTGGCTTGGGTATTCTTGTATCTACATGTCCTAAAGTGGACTGTATAGAACTGCACTCTCTGAAACGCCCGAATGGGGTCGTTCTACTTATTTGGCCCAAGGGTAGTTTCCTAATTGTAAACACCTATCTCCCACTCGTAAGCCAAAAAGTAGTGATAGAAGACAACTGGCAGCAGTTGGAACAACACATAGGGTCCCTTATCATAGACTATCAGAGGTCCAAAGTTTTGTTAGCAGGTGACTTAAATGCCCGAATGGGGTCTAACAATTCCCCATTGGCCTCTAAATACAAGATCTGTTTAGATGGTCTAGATGAGGATATGGAACCTCAGTACCAAACACACTGCTCTAAGGACCAGATTGGAAACTTTCCTGGGGCCTGTTTAGCAAAGCTAGCGTCAGGTCAGGAATATATATATTAAATGGTTCCACCATAGGCGACAGACCGGGTGAATTTACCTTCTTGGCTGGGACAAGGATCAGCAGTGTTGATTACATGCTAGTGGATAAAGAGCTGCTTTACTCCTTGGAAAATTTTCAAATTCTGCCATACCTAGAAGGCGATCACTTTCCACTTCATCTCCAGGTCTGCCTAGATTTGGAGGCACTTCATTCAATATACCCAATTAATATTGTTCCACTAGAACGTCAAGGTTGTTGGGTGAAATGGTCCTCCAAGTTGCACCTAGAGGTGAAGGCAGTTCTAACAATTGAAAGTTTACAGTTGTACTGCCAAGCTTTCAATGCCCCCATAAATCCAGAATATGCACTAGAAAGGTATGAGGAGTTAATTCAAACATTGAGGCCACTTTTAATAAGTTTCCCAGAAGGAAGGCAAGTGGGGGCAAAGATACCCTCTAAACCTTGGTTTGATCAACAGTGCTACAAAGCAAAAAATGATTTAATTAAGGACTGAGGGAAAGAACAGACATAGGGTTCCCAAGTACTTACCGTTATCCGGCAGGGGAAACATGCTCCCCGGCTGGACCATTCCTCCCTGTAACGCACCATGCCGTCGCCAGGAAGTGATGCTGGGTGACGCTCTGGCAATGGGACTGAAAACTCGATGGTACCATCAAGTTTCCAGCCCCATTGCCAGAGCATCGCCCGGCATCACTTCCTGGTGACAGCATGGTGCGGCACGTCTGTTGTCCCTACAGGAATGATCCTGTGAGGACGTCTGTGTCCCCCGCCGAATCACAGTAAGTACTTGGGAAGCCTGAACAGGCAGGAAGCCTCCAATCTCCTCTTGGCACAAATGAAGGAATACAAACTTCTGGTGGCCAAATGTAAAAAAGAATATACCAGGAAAATGTGAGCTAAACTAATAGAAGCAGCTAGAAATAAAAACGCATCTCTGTTTTGGAGACTGGTGTCAAATAGAGCATCAACAGGGGCCCCATCACTATCCATCTGTATTTCTCCAGATAGTTGGATGTCATACTTCAAAAAAATGTATGAGGAGCCCCCATATGAGAAATACATACAACCTCTTTCTGAACATCCAATAGGAGAATTGGGAAAATGGGCTCCTGCAACTGCTCAGGAGATAAAAGCATACATAGGATACCTGAAGAATGCTAAAGCACCCAGCTTAGATGGAATTCCTCCTAAATTACTCAAGGCAGACAAAAACTGGTGGGGAACTCTATTGTCCTCTCTGTTCACCTTTATTGATGAAACAGGGCTCATCCCCAAAGACTGGGGTACGGCCATTGTGGTCCCCTTTTATAAGAAGGGCAAAAAAGAGGACCCGTCAAATTACGGACCAATCAGCTTTCTAAGTATCATAAGCAAGTTATACGCTGTGGTGTATCAAGTCCTGACAAGTCCAGACATGTCCAGACAAGTCCAGAGACAACGTCAAGCTTCGCTCCAAGAGACAATGGACTATGCGGATCCTAGCCTGCTCCAATCAGGGGGCTAGATTCCTGGCCGAGAGCCAATGGGACTCTCGGTCGCTGTAAATAACATATTGAGAAGTGTGGGTGTGTTTGGGGTGGCAGTTTCTCAGGGAATATAAGCTGGCCTGCGAGCCGGCCAAAGTCGTCTTGTTCCTGATCGAATAAAGTACGCTTTGCTGAAATCACTCTCCGTCTGCGTACTTTTCACTGGTGACAAGGATGGGATTCATCTCCCTCTGAACAGAGACCACGTTCCGGAAATCGCCGTGAGCCACTGCGCCAAATTTGCCACCGCCACCAGCATCGAGTATCTTTGAGAAGCGCAGCTCACCGCACCGCTCCCTAGCTCTGAGCATCACGCCGCTGACCCCGAGACCAGCACCGCATCGCCTTATGGGGTCAGGGCAGTCCTGGGACATCGGCTGCCGGACGGTCGTGTGGTCCCGGTTGGCTATTACTCACGGACTCTGTCTGCGGCTGAGCGCAACTACGCGCAATTCGATAAAGAGGCCTTGGCTATTGTGGCGGGGGTGAAAAAATTTCAGCACTACCTGTATGGGCGCCCATTCACAGTCCTCACGGACCATAAGCCGCTGCTGGGCCTCCTCGCCCCCGACCGCCAAACTCCCCAGATGATCTCGCCCCGGGTGTTGCGATGGTCCATTTTCATGGCTCGGTACTCCTACACCCTCATTCATTGCCCGGGAAAGGCGATGGGCCATGCAGACACCCTGAGCCACCTCCCAATACCTGTCTGCCACCCAGATCCAGCTCCCGTTCTCCAGGTTGCACTTCTGGAGTCCCTCCCGGATCAGCCAGTCCACGTCAAGGAGGTGGCCCGCTGCACCTCCAAGGAAAAGCTTCTCTGTCGGGTCTTAGACTGGGTGGTGAGGGGGTGGCCAGAGGCCAAAGGGGACCCGGACTTTGCTCCCTTTGCTTCCCAGAAGGATGAACTGTCTGCCCACAAAGGCTGCGTACTGTGGGGAAGCCGGGTGGTCATCCCTAAGCCCCTAAGGGAACGGGTTCTCACCGACCTGCACGAGGTGCATCCAGGGGTGGTGTACATGAAAGCCTTGGCCCAGAGTTAAGTTTGGTGGCCGGGGCTGGACAAATACATTGACGATGTAGTAAAGAGGTGCCAGCCATGCCAAGCCTCACGGCCAGAACCCCCCTGAGCCCCGGAGAGGGCCTGGGAATCCTCACACCGCCCCTGGTCCAGGTTACACTTAGATTTTGTGGGACATTTCCAGCGCCAGCTTTTCTTCATACTTGTAGACTCCTACAGTAAGTGGCTGGAGGTAGTCCCAGTACCCTCCACGTCATCGAAGGTGGCCATCCGGGCAATGTGGTGGATCTTCAGCGCCCAGGGAATCCCCGATACACTGGTCACAGACAACGGGACAGAATTTACCTCAGTGGAATTCCAGGACTTCACGAGGTACTATGGTATACACCACGTCCGGTCGGCCCCGTTTCATCCCGCGACCAACGGCCAGGCAGAATGCATGGTCTGCACAACAAAGGATGCCCTCTGCCACCTGGACTCCTCAGATTGGGACTACAAACTGGCGGCTTTCCTTTTCAGCCAGCGGACTACGCCCCACACCACTACGGGGCGCAGTCCGGCAGAACTTTTTCTCGGCCACTGCCTGATGACCTGGCTGGACTGCCTGCACCCCAATCGAGCACCAGCAGAGGCACCACCCACAGAGGACCATGAGGCGGCCAGGGGATTCTTCCCGGAGTATCCTGTGTATGCCAGAAACTATGCCAGGGGGCCAG